GTGGAAAGTTGGAATGGACTTCTGATGTTGATGATTCTCTTTCTTTGGAATGTCTAATTCTATTTCCAAACTTAACACTTTTTTTCCTTTGACTTATATAAGTATCACTAGAATTACATTATTATGTATTTGCTCCCAATAGAAGAGAGAGCGTGGAGGGATGAGGATTTTCCTGAAGTAATTGGGATTAGAAATTGGAGAGGATTAGAAATGTTCCGGGCTAGGATACAGTTCCTGAGCTGTAAATAGTTTAAAAAGAAACAAGCAACGGGCCAGCTGAGTGGCTCAATTGGTTAAGAGCTCGCTCAAGAGTGTGAGCTCTGAGCAACAGCGGTTCGATTCCCCGCCCAAGCTGAGCTGTCGCTGAGCTACCAACAGATACCAGGATGGCTCAGCTAAAAAAAAAAGAAAAAAGAAAAAAAGAAACAAGCATACAAAAACTCACCTGAGAATAATTGTATAGCCTGTGGACAAACATGCTAATGGGAAAAAGAGGGGGGGAAGACATGAGGAGAAAAATGTCGAGTATGACCATCTCCCATGCTGGTGCAGACCCAGGGCCACCTCCGGACCTCGGGCATGTGTGTCCCTGAGGGGACTAGGCAGTGCCAGGAGATGTCAGGTCCCTGCACATCTTTCCGCAGCTTCGATTAACTGAAAGATTTAGGGAACAGGGAAATAAGCCATTACTTTCTATTAAAACCAATAAGAATGTGTTATGAAATAGAATACAAAACATTTTCAGAAATTAAACAACACATGAATTTTGAGATTTGGAAGTGAGCCCCCGGACAGGCTCCCTTCAGTAGCACGATTTTAGAAACTGTTGTTTAGCTTTCCTTGGGGAAAGGCAACTAGAAATCTGAGGAAGAATAGAGAAGGAAGAGGACAAGGAGGTGGAAAACAGCAATCTGGGAGCAAAAGGGAAAAGCAAAAATAATTTAATGATATAAGGAAATAATCTCTCTCATATGTTTTCCCAAAAGATAACGCTGTCTAAAGGTAAAACAAGTTTAGACCACTGCCCAACCAAGATAAGCCTGTGTGAAGACTGTCTCCTTTCCAAAGCACAAGGTAACTTCCTTTGCTTATTAAAAAGGTATTTACTAGTTTTAGTGTTAGTGTCTCATTATGTCTAGTCTAAGTTTACTTACTGGGATAGTCTAATTTGTAAAAAAAAAAAAAAAAATACAGAAAATCAAACCCTCCAGTAGGGAACTTTATAATGGCTATAATAGCTATAGCCAACACATGAAAACTGCATAGACACAAAAAAAATTTGATAGAATTCAGTTTCACAAACATTTATTAAGCACCTTTATGTGTCTTTGAAAACTTATTACATTAAAAAACTTTTAATGAAGTCCATTTAATGAATATGTATGTGCTCAAAGAATAATTCTATAAAATGGAACACATCTCAAGTCTAGTAAAACAAGTTATGAAGTACTAAGAAACAAAATTACCATTCTCAATGAGACTATAATAGAAAAATTAATACTTATATAGCACGATGATAAACTGAGTAAAGAAAGGACAATTATCTTTTTGTTCTAAATCTATCTCAAATCAACCCATACACCTTTGTTGAAGCAATTGACGGTGCACGTATAAGCTGGGAAAACTATTAAAATACAATGCGCGAATATCCCACCTTGAGAACAATGCATTATGAAAACGTATAAGAATCACTACCAACTATTTTCCAAACATTTACCTTATCAAAAGGATTTCCATTTATAAATTTTTCAATCTTCAGTTAAATGACAGGACACCTAAGAAAAACATATTATATATCTAATATCCAGCATGGGCAAAACTTACTTTGAAGCCTTGTGTTTCATAGATACAACCCAAGACCTCATGCTAAAAAAATGGAATCGCTAAATTTTTATAGACATTTTCAAAGCAATATTAAAATATTGCATGTTTTTTTTATTTATCTGCATCTGCTTTATTCCAGAGGGAATCTAAGGGTGAGTGTCCTCTTCCTCCTCCTCTCCCTTCTTTGTATTGGATTATTGTTTACAATTTATTGAATTCCATCCAAGGGTTAAGTACTGCACATGCTTTCATTCACTTAGCAGATATTTATGAAGTATTTATTTTTCTGCTAGACCCTGGGGGTATAACAGTGAATAAAACAGAGGCTAATGATCACAACAGTCCTGCTAGCTGGAAAGTTTCATTGCCATTTCACAGTTAAGAAAACCAAGATTGAGAGAAGTTAATGTAACTTGTAAAAAGATAACATTAAATGTCCTGGTCTTGTTTTTTAACCTAATGAAAAGAGATGGTCGTGAGAATGTTACCACTTTTATCCAGTTTATAATAAGGATATGATTATATCTTTCAAACAACTTTATTGAGGTGTACTTGACATAAAACAAAATGCACATGTTAAAGTTTTGACATGTGAAAGTCTTCATTTAATGTTTTGACCTATTAAAAACCTGAAACTATCACTGTAATCAAGATAGCAAAGATACCTATCACTCCCAGAAGATAACTCATATAGGGATTCCCTTTTTAATCCCTGCAGCCCCTCCTCTACCTTCACCCCCAAACCAACACTCATCTGCTTTCTGTCACTATATATATATATCAGTTTGTGTTTTCTAGAATTTTATGTAGCTCATACAATATATACTCTTTTTTTTGGTCTGGCTTCTTTGAATCAGCATGATTATTTTGGGATTCATCCATGTTGCTGTGTGTATGAATAGTTCATCCCTTTTTATTCCAGAGTAGTATTTCATTGTATGAATATACCATAGATGTTTACCCATTCACCTGATGAACATTCGAATTGTTTTCAGCTTAAGGCTATTATTACAAATAAAGTTTCTATGAACATTCATTTGGACATGCTTTGTATGGAGATATGCTTTCATTTGTCTTGGATAAATACTAAGGAATGGAATGATTAGATTCATATGGTCAGCGTGCATTTAACTTATTAAGAAACTGCTA